CTCTTTTTCTTCCTTCGTTTAATTGTGCCTGTTTGAAATTTCGAAATCGTTTGAATAGATATCGTTAATAACCCTTCTTATTCCTGGTTGTCGGTTCTAACTCTATTAGAATAGCCGAAAGTTGAGAAGGTAAAGTGTGATAGTTCTACTCTGTAATAGTCCTCGTTATCCATCTCAATCAATCATCAAAATTGACCGAAAAATCACCAAACAAGGAAACAGAAAAAAAGCAAAAACCAAAAACACATTGCTTTTTTGGTTTCATCTATTCAACTTTACCTAAAAGTAACTTAACCTATTCTTTAGATCAAACTGTGGAAAAAACGAAGTTGGCACCTTGAAAATATATTGCCTCGTATAGAAATACGGTGTTCCGATCGTATAAACAGGGGACTTCCGATCACAACAAAGTCAATTAAAATTAGTTCACTTTGAATGTACAGTCACCATTGAGAAACTGCACCTCGCTAGAAATAGCTTATTTACACTATTCATCGGGCAGTGAAATTCATGATTTTCAATCTTCCTTATTAGATCGAATTCAGCCTCAAACTTTGTTTTAATCTGATTTGGCGAGTTTTTTTATTAAAATTTCACGAAAGAAAGTTGAATTAAGTCAATTGATAATTAAAGAAATTGAATCAAAAATCGACCAAATTCAAAAGTAGATAAAACTCCTCCTTAATAGGGACCATTGAAAAAATTAAGTGCAGTTTCACAATGGTGCAGTTTCTCAATGGTGACTGTAAACAAAAAGGTAAACAAGGTGAAGATCATTCTAGTATTTTATTCTTTTATTAGTGAATAAAGATCAGTGATACAAAGTTTATGCATTCGCTGTATTAAAGTTAAACATAGGTTTTTTCATTATGATCTTGCACCATCCGATCTATAATTTTTTCTGGAATCTCGTATCGTACTCCTCCACAACAGTTCAAATTGGACTATCAAGTTATTAATAACCATGTATTGAATGTAATGAATTTGATTTATGATGGAACGGTTTATATCTGCCAAATTATCAAATCGTTCAAATATATGTTCAGAGACTTGACCAATGTTATGATATAGCTGGTCATCAATCTCCTTGTGCATATTGATTGATACGACCAGGCGGTCCATCAAATCAAACAATCCATTTCATTATCCTGAAGAGTTAGTGATGGACATGGAAGTTGAGATGGAGGCGGGCCAAAACAGAATGGCAATTCAGACTTACTTCATTATCACTCGAGTGTAGATCAATTTCACTTTCTAATTCTGAGGCCGTGATCGATGAAGAAGATGAGAAGACCAATCTATGGATGATGAGAATAAGTCATTGCAATCAATTTCTGTTTCCTCTAAATCCTGGACAACATGTGAAATCCTTGTAAAAAACTTTTCACATCGATGAAGGTACCTGTCACAAGTAAAGTTGCGGAGGGTGAACACAATGACAAGGTGTATATAACTAACCTGAGCCACCTAAAGTTAATGAAAACAAACAAACTGTGTCAATTAATTTCTTCAATGTTTTGGTAATTAAAACCAATGCTAACTTAACAATGACTATTAGCCCTACTAGTTAAAATTTGGAGATCTCGTAAAGATTAGATTGCATAGATGAGTGTTATTAATAAATGCATAAGTTTAACACCTTCTTTCTTCTCTTTCATTTTTTCTTTCTTTTCTCTTTCTTTTTCTATCCAATGAAGGTGAATCCAAACAGAAATAAAGACCAATCAAATTTACCTTTCTCTCTCCTTCTTTTCTTGCCGATTAAAAAGGTAAAGTCAGACAAGGCGCAGATCTAGTATTTTATTCTTTGTTCAGTGAATAAGGATAAGTGAATGTAAAGAAAGGTTACAAAGTTTATGATTATAATTAAGTAAGTAAATAAGTAAAACATAAGTTTTTCAATAATCATCTTCTCCATCTGATCTTTCATTTCGCCTCTCATCTCAATGAATTTCGCCAGAGCAGGTTCAACTGGACTATCAAGATATTTATTTCCATTGATTGTGTGCGGATTTGATTGATTATTGACCGGTTCGCATCAGCGTAACTATCAAACCGTTCCAAGATATGACCAAAGACTTGACCAATGTCATGATAAAGCTGGTCGTCAATATCATTGTGAGTGTCAATTGACACGACCAGACGTTCTATCAAAGTGAACAATCTATTCAGATCATTGCCTGACGAAGTTGATGATGGAGGTGGAGGTGGAGGAGCAGAAGAACCCAAAACAGAGTGGCAATTCAAACTTACTTCATTTTCACTCGGAGGGAGGTCAATTTCACTTCCTGATTCCGAAGCTGTGATTAATGAACAAGATGAAGAAGTAGAGCAATCCATGGAGGATGAGGATGAGTCCTCGATATCAACTCCAGTATCCTCTAAATCCTGGAGAACATCTAGGATCCTTGTAAAAAACTGTTCACAGCGATCAAGGTCACTTTCACATGTTATGTTGTGGAGGATGATGTCAATGACATCCCATAGCTGGTCAATAATTGTCTAATTAACGTCGGACATTGATGAAAAAGAATGTAAATTAACTTTATGCAAATGAAAAAAGATCAATGCAATTGACTATGTTTGATTGAAGGACTAACATTACATAGACAAGTTTTCTTCGTGACTTTATTGCGTTTTACGATCTGAACCTCATGAGGGTGAACATGAGAATCTTTGGAACAGAAGAACAAACGCCTGGACCTTATCAGATGAGGAAGTTTGGAGCTTCTTACAGTAATTTGTAAGCTGATTTCACTGTTTTTGCATTGAAAAGCAAAATTAAAGCGGAATATTGACCTAAGGAAAATTTCTATGTTCAGGTCAAAATTAAAATTGATCCAACAGCATAAACCAATATATTTTCTTGACCAGTATTTCATAACGAGTGCAAATCTGCTAATCCGACAAGCAATTTCGATTGATTAAAAAATGTCTAATTTTCTTACAGGACTTCTATTTCATATCTTAAGACGAAAAAATTTTTCTTTCATATCGCTGCAAACTTTATTTCTGTCATTTTTGACAAAATTTGTCTCGAGGTTTGCATTTTTGTAAGTTGAATAGAATCCAAATTCAATGGCAAATTTTCACTATGCTAAGGTATTGTTAAACTGGTTATCTGATGTAAATGGAATGAAATTCAATTTTGATTAATTTGTAAATCACATTTGAATATTGCACTGTAAAAGGATTGAATGAACATTTATAAGCGTAAAATTGTATTCATTTATTCAATATGCAAATCAATTTTATTTTTTTTGATATTGCCATGTGAAAAATATAATTGCCCTAATCAAGATTAATGAAATGAAATTTTAGCACAATGAATGAAAATTGTTCGCAAAGAAAAAATGATTAATGAACAATTCTCAATGATAGTTGACAAATTTGTTTTTGTTCAACCAACAATTTGTTTTCATGTTTGACTAACTTTGGTCAATTAGCATGAAATTGAATAGAAAACGGTGAGAGAAGAAAAATCTAACAGAGAAAAGCTAATATTCATTGAAATTATATTCAATTCTCATTGTTTCCAATTCTTTGGAGGTTTCACCGAGTTTAGCCCATTGCAATGAAACGTTTCCATCCATGACAATTGAAATTGAATTATTTGACTTTAAATTACAAGTTAAATGGTGACTCTTGTGATTGGCAAAATCAATTGCTTGTAAAACTGCTTTTCAAAGCTATCTAAAGTTCATCATTGAACTGATATTGGTAATGTCAAAGGCATTTACCACTTTACAAGTTTCTGCAAATGAAATGCTAAACAAGTTATGAATTCAACTTCAACTAATTAAGTTGAACACTTTAAACTAAAATTGTTGAAATTGCAATTAAACATCAAGAGTAATCAAAAGTAAGGTTGAGATGAAACTGAAGGAAATGTTAGACCATCTTGATGAGTAAAGAGCTTAATGTTGAGCTTGGTAAAGAGCTCATTAAACAGTTAAATTAAAGTGAAATGAAATTGAATTTGATTTCAAAAACAGTAAGAAAAGTAAAATGAAAATCCAAAAGAGAAATTTTCCAAGGTTTTCAAACAGAAGCAAACTTCGACAATCTTCACCAAAGCCAGATTGGGTTGATGAGAAATGAACGAAAATGTGAAGAAAATCTTCAGCAAAAAGCTTATCTCAAAGTCTATGGAAAACTGTATGAGATTCGCGACTTGATCTCACTTAGTTAAAATATTATTGGAACAATCGAAGTGAATAAGAATTTCTGTTTCTCTAACTCTCAATCTTCTCAGTTTCAGTGAAGTTACACCCAAAGTCAAAACTTCGCCATCAGATCTAATGATCAATTGCATGAAGCTATCGAAAAGTTTTCCCACAATATTTAGACAATTCAATAACATGTGAATATATGAATGAATTTTGGGTTGCTTTTGTTTGACTAAAAGCTCTTCAACTTTTTACTTTTTTATGAAACAATAAATCAAAAGACATGAAAAGTTTCCAATAAAATATGCTAAGACTAAAGTCTTTGATCATTTTACTCAAGTTGACTGATTAATTGGAAATCAATGAAACAAACAATTTATCATAAGTGCGTCATTTGTATTCAACTTGAAATGCAATTAATCAAAACTTGTACCAAATTGGCGAGAAAATTAAATTTAATGGTAAATTTTTTCATTCTTATTACAATGTATTCAACCCATTCTACTGCTCTTCACCCTTCCTCTCTTGACAAGTTAATTAATTGATTAAATTTTCCAATTTGTTTAAAATGATAAATGAATTAAGTTTATTTTGTCATAATATCAATACAATTATACAGACAATGTAAGGGTTAGACTGAAAGTTTAATTGAAATACACTGAACGTTGCCATAAAGTATGCAGACATAAAAAGAGTCACACAAAGAGCATAAAAAGGCTGAATGTTTAACCAGAAGAATTGCTTTTGTTCATTTAAATTACTCGAGATTGTTGCTGAGCCACAAATGCGTCACAATTTTACCAATTACTAACATTGTCTCTTCTTGATCAGATTAAAGTTTCACAATTTAAAGATTACTCGGCCACCTGAATCAGTTGGACGTTATACGATGATTAGACACAGTCACCGAGCTGAATCTCCTGATAATGTTAGGTAAGTTAATGTAAACCTGTCTACCGGTTATTAGTTGAATCAATAATGCAATTGAAAAGATGCTCCAAGCAAAATTTGTTTTTTCACTCTCATCTCAACATTGAACAAAATGAGCTTCAATTGGAAAACCAAAATTTGATTTAAAATTTTTGGTCCACACAAAAATAGTAAAAAACATCATTACCCAACCAGCCTGAGGAAATGTCTCATATTCATGTATATTTTACTCAATCAAACCTTTGATTTTCAGTTCATTATTAATATTATTTTACAATCTTGAAAAATTGTCCACATTTGTCAACATTTTTGATTCTTGACATTTGCTTTACGATTGTCATTTGGGTTTCATTTAAATGTTGATTTACATTCATTTGCGCTTCTTTTTTGTCTGTCTGTCAGAACTGCGTTATTAAGGATGGCAAAGCGTCGGGCAGTTCGTGATGGCCTTAATTCGGTTCGATATACGGTTGTGGATAGGAAAGAGACACTCGATTATAGCCATTTTGTTATTGAGATTGGCTCTGTCCATAGATGGTCTTTTCCTTCACCAAACAAATTGGTTATACATTTTTAACCAACCTTAAAGATACAAATCAAAGATAAATTATTGTTACTATTGTCCATCCTTTAAATATATATATATAAATAATTAAAGAAAAAGTACTTTTTTCCCTTTTTTAATCACAATTAAGCAAAATAAAATTGTCTTTACATTCATTGAACCTTTAAGTAAACTGTTAATTGAAATGTGCCTTGAGAAGAGGAAAATGTTTTTGCTTTTAATCAACTTTATATTTTATAAGCTCTAGATTTTAATAATAGTCAAAGGATTTTAACAGATTATATTAATTTATTTTGATTGTTTTCTCGCTGTAAATAATAAAGCTACAATTACTCTTGCATTTTTGGCTGATTATTTTTCAATGCTCAGGTGAATATCTAGTTTTAAGGTTGAAAAGGCGGTAATGATCATTGATACAATCAAAGGAGTCGTTTGATTGTATTGAATAAATGTTGCCAATCCAGTTTAGCCTGGTGTAGTCACATTTTGATGGCAATTGAAAGGCAACTAAAGCAAACTTATAATGATGCTGAAAGAATCATTATTGCAAGACAATTAAATTTGACCTTTTTATTATTTTGGCTACATCTTGTTTCACCTAATGATGGGTCAGCATTGGATTATCAATGGCCATTAAAGGTAATTAAAGGTGACAAGCATTTCGTTCGTTTTTTGCTTGATGGATCAAATTGCTAATGGTTTTAATCAGACTTGTAAGACTTGTTTCAATTTAATTGTTTACGTGGTGTGTAAACATCAATAATACCAAACATTGGCTGTTAAGTGTTTAATTATTTTCTCATGTGGTTTATAAATTGTTGAGTGGGTTACATTATTGAAAGGTCAAAGATTGGCACTTGTGATTTTCGTTGCACTCGAGGTTATCTCAATTGTTTGGGCAAGTTGATTTTAATTAAAAGTATAAATTAAATATTTGATTGTAATAACAAAGTATGTAAACATGAAATGATGAACAATCAATGGTTTGTTTGTTTGAGGATTGATGTTGAGGATGGATCTTTTAGTTGAAAATTCAGGGTAAATTACATTTCAATTTTGATTAAATTGGTAAATTATTTTTGACTTTGGGTTACAAAAAGATGAGACTTTGATAAATCAAAGATGATTAAATAAATTGCTCCTCTTTGCTTGATTAGTTACATTACGGTCTTTTGATTACATGAAGATGCTTAATCGAGATGTATTACGGTGAAATCCTTTGCTTTGTTTGGTCCACTCGAGAGATGATTGAAAACAATTATCTTCATCTTTTTATGTAATATTGCTTGTTCCTTTGTTTTGACTTTTACTCCTTACTTCCTATTGTAGACATGTTTGGATTTTTATTGATTTTGCGTCCTTAAATACTTTTTAAGTAATAATTTACTATTAATCTTGTAATCCAATAAAGTCAATTGAAACCAGAATCTTCATCAAACTAAATAAGATTGTCATCGATTATCAGCTTATCAACATTTCTTTTTGTTTCATTATTGCACCAGATCATGAATTGGAAATTGATAATAGAATTGCTGTTGACATCATATTTGATTTGATATTGGATTTATAAAAAGCCTAACAGAGATTTATTAAGTGGAAATTGGTTGAGTCAATTAAAGTGGTTTAATCAATTTTCTTCATCACTGGATCAACTTCCAAATGCTTATACTGGCAAGTTCCATTAGAGAATTGTTGAACCGTTTGTCCGTTTCCAGAGAGAATCCATTTAGTGGACAAAAGACCTTCCATTCCAACAGGTCCACGAGCATGAATTTTTCCTGTGCTTATTCCAACTTCAGCTCCTGTCAAAGAAATAACAACAGATATTACAATTAGAAATATAAATAATGATAATAAATTGGTGTGCAGACATACCAAGACCAAAGCGATAGCCATCAGCAAATCTTGAGCTACAGTTGTGGAAACAGCAAGCACTGTCAACATTTTGCTTGAACAAAGAAGCCACTTCATCTGTAAGAGAAGATATTAGATTAGATGAGCAATTAGGTTAAATGAAGACTTTGTGAAATTACAAAAAAATTACCATTCTCTGTTACAATTACATCAGTGTGACCACTTCCATAGGTATTGATGTGATTGATTGCGTCTTCCACATTCGCAACCAGTTCAATTGTACAATCTAAACTTCCGTACTCTTTTTTCAATGAACTGGCTGGAGGTGGTGCAAAAGTTAAAGCAGCGAATAATTTGGGACCAGAGTGGACAGTAACTCCTTTGTCTTTCAATTGACTACAGAGTTTAATGAAAAAGTCATTTTTCAGCAATGAGCCATGCAATAGCAGTGTTTCCATAGCGTTACAGGCTGATGGGTAGTCACATTTAGAATCGATGACTGTTGGAACGAAAGAAGAAAATCGATTTAATTAGACATGGCAACGTACTACGAAAATAAAAAATTGGTGCTTGACTCTAATCATTTACCTATGTCAATAGCTTTCTTTAAATCTGCATCTTTATCTACATAAACATGACATATTCCTTCGGAATGTCCTAAAACAGGAATTGTCCCTGCTTTTTCCTTGATTCCTCGCACCAATTCATATGATCCACGGGGAATTATTAAATCAATATGATTTTCAAGAGTTATTAATTCACCAATCTCTTCTCGGGTATTCACCTGAAAAAAGGAAAAACAAAAATATCAGTTATCTTTGAGTGCAAGGGAAAATTAACAATTACTAATTGCTAAATAACAAGATAAACACGATGACACTTCACCAATAATTACTCAAGAGTCGAATTTCGTTAAATTAGAGAGCATTAATGAATCTCTTACCAGGGCAACTGAGTCTTCAACGCCATATTTTGAAAGAGCTTTTTGCACGATTTCCCAAAGAAATTGATTTGAATGAATTGCTTCTTTTCCGCCTTTCAAAATTATACCATTACCAGTGGCTATTGAAAGACCAGCAATTTGAGGAAGACAATCTGGTCTTGATTCAAAAATAACAAGAATATTTCCTATTGGAACAGTTATTTGTTTAAGAATTAAATCATCGGCAACAATTGTTTCCTTAATTACACGATTTAATATATCTTTTGATTTGTCGGCTATCGATCTCAGCCCATCCGCTAAGCTTTTCAGTTTGGCATGATTCAATTTTAATCGGGAAGCTAAAACAGCGGCTAAACCTGAAATGGAAAAAGAAAATCAGAATGAAATAAAATATTTAAACAAGTCAAGAATAAAAAATTTTTAAACCTGTCTCTTCAGCAATTTTCAAGTCTTTCCTGTTTACTTCCAAAATTTCTGCCTCTTTCTCAAGTAATAGATCTGCTATATTTACAAGAATATCTGATCTTTCTTCAGGTTTCAAAGCTTGTAATTTATATCCACCAATGCGAGCTGTCAAAACAAAAGAAAATGTCAGAATGTGATATTTATGTAAAAATTAAACTGAATTAAATCACCTCTAGACGCCAACGTTTCTACAGAGGAATTTTTTTGACGGTGATTAGTAAAAAAGGTTCCTATTTTAAACCCGTTTACGATATGCTTAATTGCATTGAATTCATGACCATTACAAATAACGGTTGAAACACCTCTTTTCAATGCCCATGATGCAGCGTCAACTTTTGATTTCATCCCACCGGTCCCAACTTTGTTGGTGGTTCCGAATCTAACAGAGCTGTCTCCATTTGTAGAGTAAATATTCAACAATTTGGACCCTTCTTGACCAGGCGGGGCAGTGTAAACTCCATCAACATCAGACAAAATGATGAGCAAATCTGCTCCGATCTCAACTGAAAGCAATGCAGCTAGACTATCATTATCATGAACCATGATAGTTTGCTGAAATAAAAAACAAAAATATGCGATTAGAGTTATCCAATTTGTATTGAGCGCGCTTTGATTTGATTTGATTTGCATCTCAACACATGTTTGTCAAAAACATGTTGACTTAATCGCAAAACAAGTAATTTTCTGCAATTTATAATCGCCCAATTTTTAGTTACTCAATTCGTGGCATAATAAGGAAAGATCTCAAATTGCTTGAAAGATGTATTTTAAATATACAATGTACATGCAATTGTGAAAGAACGACGTAAAGCTAAAAGGTAAAACCTGAATCTAATTGGAAGCCTGTTGTGTATTGGCCTAGTCTGGATAAGATAAAGATTCATTAAAGAAGTGATTATTACCTCTTTTGGTCCAGTTTCTGGTTCTTGAATAATCTCTGGATCATCTGGCATCATTGGTGAAACAATAACATCATTTGTATTGACAATTGGCACAATATTAAGGTATAATAGATCATTTATAGTGTAATTTAAATTTATACGGCTTATAGGATTATGGAAGTCACTTTTGGTAGCCAATACTTGAGCAATTTTAACACCGTACTGGGTAAACATAGTATCATACAGAGCCATTAAATTACTTTGTCCAATAGCGGCAGCAGCACGAATTTGAAGAGCTGTAGACTTGTTATCACGGTTCGATTCAGTAGTTAACTGTCGCAGTGTTTGACGCATAGACTGAGACATTCTAAGCTCTGTAGTGATTTTTTGCTTTCCTAAAGCGACTGATCCACTGGTTACAAGCATAACATCTTTACCAGTGTTACGAAGTTCAGAAACTTGTTCAACAATAGAAGCCAACCGACCAAGCGCCAATCCAGATTGATCTTCTCTGGTTAAAACTGCACTTCCTACTTTTATCACAATTCGTTGAGCTTTATGAAGTTCATCTCGATTTTCATAGGGACCCTTGCCGTTTGATCCATTACTTTTAATTTGATTTTCCGTTATACTCATTGTATTATCGTTATTCTGTAAAAGAAGAGAGGAGAGGAAAAGGCAAGCAAAATGAAGGGATATCAGTGAAAACAGTAAAAAAGAGTAAGAGTGTAATCATCTATTGGTAATGAGTTTAACTGGTTAACTAATTTACTCACACTTCAATTAAGACTGTAAAACTGTTGTTAATTTATGTTGATGTTCATGTACTAGATGATTGGTGTTACGGACTTTTGTTTCCTATTTACTCAAATGATTTGCACTTGTCAACCAAAAAGTAGATTGAAGAGACATCTCTCAATACAATTTTGTGAAGTTTAAAGCGACTCTATTGGGGGCGCCAGAAGGAAGAGCTCTTCCTTTACTCTTTGAATCTTTGCTTTTCAACAGTATACGCAATAAAGGGGTGGCTAAGAGATAGAACCAAGTGTATTTTGAACCAGAAGCGGAGCAAGTCAAACTATTAAATGTTGATTGTTAAACTTGAATCCTTCCAAATGACCAAATATTTAATCAAGTATTTAATGCAATGCTTTTTTTGCTTGTCTCTTTTTTGAAATTCAAATTAAAGGCTGTTCAATTGATGGACGTTAATCCTAAGGTTGGACCTCAATCTGGTGGAACTCATCTTTACTTGGCTGGTTCCAATTTCAATATTGGATCAAACATTGAAATCTATCTTGATGATATGCCCTGTGATATAAAAAAGTAAAAATAATTAATTGATTATACATAATTAGGTATACATATTTCATGGAAAAGCATTAAATGAAAGAAAAAAAGAAAGACATTTATGTAAGAAGAGGGAAAAATATGCTTACTCAGAACATGTGATAATGAGACTCAAAAAATTAATGGATCCAATTGTCTTTGTTAATGGCTTAGTTAATCACCCTTAGCACTGTCGAGTCAATAGCTGTCCAATTTTTGAATAATTTAACCGAGATAAATTATTTAAACAAACACAATTAATACCAGAGGCTGCTGCGATCATGACGGATGCAAATTCCGATGAGTAAGAGGAATTAAATACACAATGAAAAGACTTACATTTTTAATAAACAAACATATTCACTGAGAAAAACTAAAATGAAATAAAATCTGTATGGATTAATACAAATAAACAAAAGAAACAGCCGGTTAACTTATGACAAGAAAAAGCAACCTTATGATGTCATACCATTAAAAAAGTAAACAAACGCTACCTAATGAGTATTGAAGGAATGAAAATAAATTGTTTTTATTTGAAAATTTTCCTTTAATTGTTATAATTTTTTATTTTTACATCTCTTCTTTTCACAGATCCATGATTGCCAATCGTCAAGTTACATGTCGAACTTCACCTTCTCTGACTGCTCCTTATTGGGTTCAAAAGTTAACCCTTCTTCTTGATGGTGCCAACCTAACCTTACCACGCCCTGCAATCGGTTCTCATGCATTGATTGGAAGCTCCTTGGGATTCAAATGGGATGATTAAATAGCCGCAAAATGCTTGAATATTTGTACATTGTTTAAACCAAAGTCTATTTTGCATTTACTAGAAAAATGGAATGACTATTTCATCTTGAATGTTTATAATCCTTTTTCGCCGAATTTCTTGCGCTGCCTCTTCATTCTCATTCTAATCATCCTCATCATTTTCACTTTTTACTCTAAATTATACAAAGTCAATTTAAAAGTCAATCAATTTGTTTCATCATCATTCATTGTTGATGTAATTTATATTGTAAACTAAAGTCAAAGAAAAAGATGAACTGTGATTGTTTAGATAATTCAATCATTTATTACAACTTACTGCAACTTCATTTATTTCTGTATTTCAATAGAATGTATGTGAATTTGTGTGACATTAGTTGAATTTGCAATTGCTGAAATCCATTTCTGGGTGATCTTGCATGAATTTTTTCAAAATTTCTTGTTTCTTGGTTTCTTCCGAAGTCGGTAATCCTAATTCTTTCTGTCTTTGATCAAACATCATTTTCTCAACCATTGCTCTAGTCTCTCCATCAAGGTCCGATAATTTCGAAGGCTCTGGATTTATCTTTTTTGTATCAATTTCAGGATCACTGGTTACCAATTTATTCCACCATTCCATTTTATTGATTTTTTCCAGAGACAGGCAAAGAGTTTGTCCTTCTAGCGTCCAGAAACATTCCTCGAGTTTGACAGCGGCAAAAAGATCACCATCAATGATTGGAGTTTGACCTGAGAAAACAAAATCATTGAAGTTTAAAACAATCAAGGTTACCGAATAACAAATAAAAACTAACTGAAACCAAGAACAAACCTTTCAAGCCAACTGTGAGATGAGTCTTTTCAAATTTAACATTGATGTCTCTTGATTTAGCAGGTACAGGAAGAGGTATCCTCAAATCAATTTCAGAAAGCGTCTGAGTCCACCGATAGTTTGGTAAATCACATCCGTTACCAATATTAGGTTGAATTAGTTCTGTTTCCATGTTGTAAACACAAGGTTAAATTGAAAATCAAGATTAATAAAAATCAACAACCAGTTTAACCAAATTTGCTAAGCTTTAACTGCTGAATAACCAAACACTCAGGTAGGCGATGAATAACAGCTGTTTAACATGATATCTCAAAGACCATAGTTACCCATAGGCGCCTAATTTGAACTAGATTACAGTTTTAAACAATTGAGTAACTTTTCTGATTGAATATTGACTAGATTAAGCTAATTAAGCTAGAATTGACTGACTTTATAATGAATAAAACAATTTGATAATCTATTTCAGCAATTTTTCAGCCTTAAGCGGACTGTAGTTATCCAAAGTTCCAATTGTTATTTTCTTGGCCCACATAACTCTTTCCAAAATTCACCATTGATCTGCCAATTAATAGCTACATAACAAGATTAACACGATGACACTTCACCAATAATTACAGTAAGAGTTTTGTCAAGATGGATTAAATAAGGTTAATAATAATATATCTTTTGCTTTGTCGGCTATCGATCTTGAAATGAATTGATCATTGAACTCATGACCATTACAAATAACGGTTGAAACACCTCTTTTCAATGCCCATGATGCAGCGTCCCCTTTTGATTTCAGCTAGACTACCATTATCATGAACCATGATAGTTTGCTGAAATAAAAAACAAAAATATAGATTAGAGTTATCCAATTTGTATTGAGCGCGCTTTGATTTGATTTGAATATCAACGCATGTTTGTGATAAATATTTTGACTTAATCACAAAACAAGTAATTTTCTGCAATCATAATTAAACAATTTTTAGTTACTCAAGTGTATCAATCCCATTCCCAGTCCCTCTTCGTCTTCATATCCTCATCCAAAGAGTATACTCTTTGTCCTCATCTCCTCTACTGAAGAGAAACACCTCTTCTTCTTTGTTCATGGATTGAAGTTTAAAAGTTTATTGAAAAAATTAGTAAATATTAGATGTTAAATTTCAAAAAATGCCTTCAGACGATGAAATCCTTCCATTGAAGCCAATTATTTTCTTTAGTGTTGTTTATTTTTTTATAACACTTCCATTCTATACTTCCTACAATATTCAGGTAAGACTATTTCTCAAATTTTAACCATATTGACTGGTCCATTCTTGACTGATGCCTTACCAAAACTAAAACTTGGTATTCATTTTTTCAACTGTCAAATATGTTGGAATCTAGGAAACAGCAATTTACATAAACATTTAAAAAGATGCCAATCATGAATCCTATCTTTACCATCATTTGAGCTTAAAAATCATCTTTAGTTTGCATTATTTTATTTATATCTTATAAATAATTTACTAATTATTGTACCACCAAACATTCTGATATTAAATATCAGAGTTATCTTATTTATTTATCTTCAGGATGTTACAATTAACACCCAAAGATTTTGCTATGACCGGTAAGCTTAAATCTTCCAATATCTAAGCTTTCAATGTTATAGCTTCAATGTCAAAGTTCAGAGTCAACAATATTTAAAATTATTATTTTTATATCAATTTCAGGAGCTGGTAGCGGATTCAATAAATGATGACTATAAACAAGCTTGGAATGGATTCAAATGGAGCGGTTACATCAGTTTTGTAATACTTAATTGGACTAATGCAATTTTTTCATGGTTTACTCCGCCATTGATTTCATTGATCAACTCTAAACGAACTCTTGCCTTAGGAGCATTCGGTTTCAAGTAACTACAGATTCAGATTTCTTGACAATCTAAGGTTGTCTCTAATTTGACCAGTTTTTGATTACCATTTCTTGTTCAATTGATTGTTTGTAGTCTTGCATTGGGCACTTTTTTGTTTCCCTTCAAATATGGACTTTACATTGCCACCGTCATCTCAGGCATATCAACATCGCGTAATTTCAATTTCCTATGACTTTAAACAATTTAATTTAAAATTATCTCTTATTCAATAGTTATGTGGAGCTCTCAAGGAACGTATCTGAGTTTTACTAGCAATGGTGCAAGCGCTACTAGAGACTCTGGAATTATGTGGTTAACGATGAACAGTGGAGCTGTTATTGGCAATGTTGTTGTTGCATATCTATTTCAAGGGAAAGAACATATACCAGCAAGCACGCGAACTTTATTATATTCGAGTCTTATATCGTTTGGAATAATTGGCATTATATTAACATTTTTCTTGAAAAAACCAGATGAAGTAGAAAAATCTGAACCAGTATTAAAAGTATTTGGTATGTAAAACGATTACTAATAAGCTAGTCTCACACTAATGTTATCATGCTATTTCAAGTGCTAAAAATATTTCATTACAAATGCTTTTATTTTCAGGGCAATCGGTCAAACTTATGGCTACAAAGAAAATGGCTTTGCTGGTCATTCTTATCTTTTACACAGGTTAGTGTAGCTATTTTGTAAATAATCGTCATTGACTCTCAGTTGACTTGATGAAAGTTCAGTTGAATTATTTTAAAGTTTCTTACATTATCTTTGTTTAATTTTAGGTCTAGAGCTTTCATTTTTCAATTCAATTTATCCTACATCAGTTGGTTTCACAAAAGCATTTGGAGTGAATAGGAAACAATATGCTGGTGGAACTGGAATGCTGATCGGTAATAATATTACAAATAATGAAAATCGAATCATTCAAGTAATTCTCAAATTAACACTTCTTTTAGGTGTTGGCCAAATAGCTGCTGGAATATTATTAATTGTGAGCCGTCGCGTGAAGAGACAAGAATACATTTTGGTACTTGCTTACGTTTTATCTATTTTCACATTTGGTTCTATTTACGTCAACCTTCCTAATAATTCATCGACTATGGACACTGACGATCCAGCAATTATTAACCCCAGGTCAGTGCATAACTAGAATAAACGATTAAACTGGTTAATTTGACATGAAACTAATCATATTTTTCTTTTAAAATAGCTTAACACTCGCCTTTATTAATGCCTTTTCTCTTGGATTCGCGGATGGATGTATCGAGACGCAAATTTACAGATTCATTATTGAATATTATCCGGACAATGCAGCACCACCATTTGCTATTTTAACCAGTATACAAGCGTTATCAATGGGAATCATGTTCCTAATTTCAGATTATATTGGTCTTCATCTCCATTGCATCTTGTTAATAATTACATGTACAATTGGAATTGCTGCTTTTCTCTTCAGTTTTCGCGTTAAAGATTCGGTTAGCTTAATCGATGGTTTAGAAGTGGAAGAGACGTGAACAAGTGGTGAACAACATGGAGAACGAATACAACATTAAATATTTACACTCATCAAGTTAACCACTAAAGAAGTTATTAGCAGTAATCATTGTCTTGATAAACACAGATAAACTCTTGTCGTTGAAAAGTTCCGGGTTTTCAATAAAAAAATTAATTGTTAATTGTTTCCGTTTATTTATTTGAGCAATGAGATACAACTCTTGAGATTGAATACTTCAATATTTATGGCAACAAAAGTTAATACTCAAGAATTAGCTTCCTTTACTGTTAGGCAATAAAAGTTAATATTAATGAATCCAACTAAATCTGGGTAAAATGGTTATTAAAATATTTCCATAAGCATTTTAATGCTGATTGAAATTTACAAAACTTAATTAATCGAAAAATGGCGATAACACTTGGCTGTTAATCAAATCACCACATATAGTTGGTTGCTTGGTCAACCAACTCGACTCCAGAGCCTGGCTTCTTGAACTTTGACATGGATTGACTTTTATTGTCATTGGTTTTCCAGTGATTGTTGACTCTAGTTGCACATGATTTACTATGTTTATCCTGTTGCGAAAAGTCACTCTTTTCACTCCGATTGGGTGAATCTAAATTTAAAATTGGAATAAATCAAAATGAAAATACAAACCAAAAAGCAAACAAAATGTCTTACCTAGACTGAAGGCCTGTGTAAATTTACTGTTCATTATTGATCACTTTTTCAATCAAAATTTTAAACTGAAACCAGCTAACGCTGAATGGCTTTAATAACTGGTTAAGATCCATACTTAGCTTCATGAATCACATGAATCGTGTTTACAATTATCAGATTACCTTACAAGTGCGTTGCATAACTTGGTTCATTCACTCAGTCATATGCTGATCATTGATACAATGATTCAATGTTGGTTTGAAAAAGAATCCGGAAGAAAATTAAAAATCCAAGATTTTCCCTTTCAAATCGCTCACTGTGGTTATGGAAGCATATTTTGATTCAGTCTGAAGTTTTGACTCAAAAATTGAATCCATTCAAATCATTACTTTCTCTACTTTCTGATGATTACATTTTTCAATCTTTATATCATTTCGTATTTCTATTAACAGCTACGCATTTCTACTAATATCATTACTATTATTAATGCTATTATTATGATTATTGTGATAAACACGATTAAATTGTTGGTGAAAAGGTGAAAAGACAGAAAGGTAGAAAGTTAATGTTGACTGTAAAATCTTACAAAACTGGTAAGACTTTCAAGCTCAGGCTATTGATCATTCTTGACTATTCAAATCGGGTTCATTGCTATTGACTGTTGATCAGTTAATCTGATCACGTTAGTTGATAGTTTATTCCGAATCTTATTGTTCCTGGCTTCGACATTTGTCTTTGCTCAAAATTTTGTATCATTTAAACCAAAACAACAAAAATTTGGAGACAATTTTATTACTTCAGTTACCATTAATAGCTCGCCAATCTTATATTTTGTTTTGCAATTCATAAAGCAAGGTAATGCAATCGGTCCTTCTGAGGTTTCAATTGTTTGGACGAAATCAATTTGATCATTTTGCAATGTTAATTCGTTCAATTTAACAATTTAAACAGTAAGAACTGATTGAGCTCATCGTATAATGCTGGAGCGAAACAGTTATTTATCGGTTTAGAATGATGAATTAGCGTTGAACTAAACCCAGACAAGACTAAAGTATGTCCGGTAAAGTTTTGGACCGATTTACTCTGATCAATGAGAGTTGTACTTTATTCCAGATTGTTATTATGAATAAAAAGACACAGTTAACACAATTGTTACATTCTTGCACAAATTGACATAAATTGAGTCGTACACTGACACATAAATCGGTGCAAACGGAGAAAAATAAATTTGTTTGTGATTTAGACTCTGTCAGTCTATTAAGACATAAAATCTGAGTCCATTCGTGTGATCTGAAGATTCCTCTGAAGAACAGTTTTCGAGAAAATCGAGTTGAAAGTTAAAACTTCGATCGCTTTTTGTGCAATAGTGAAAGCAGATTTTTTCATCAAACTTATGCTATTTGATGATAATTTTGATAGTAAACCAGAAAATGGACTTGTTTAGAGAGATAACATTTTATTTTTCCTTTGAAACCGATAAGTTCGATTTCCCATTAAACCGACCCCTTTCAGTGACCGTAAGACTTAAAGAGCTGAAATTTATTATCTGTTCATAAACAATGTTTGTACACAACATGGGTTGTCTGAGCTCTTCAAAATATCAACAGTTCTCTAGATTTTAGCAATTGAACTTAAGACTTTGAACTTCGATATTTCGAGAATGGCTTCACTTTCATTCATCATTCTTTCTCTAATCCAATCCTTTACCAATAAATAATTAAATTCTATCACATAACTTCCCATTAGTGAATCCGGGTTGCGATATTTGGGCTGTAAATGATCGAGCAACAGCTTATTTAACAAAACAAACTCATATTAACCCATTTCTTGGTGAATAAACCACTTTTCTGGTTAAAGTTGCAAATGAAATGCAAAGAGAACTGCAGGAGGCTCGAAAATTTGAGTTAAGAATTGATAACTAGTGGGTTTGTTGGGCTATAAAAACGGGCTCTATTGGTGCTACTAAATAATTCATGCGACCAACAGAACACGAGAAAATCGAAGTCAAAGTTGAAACTTCGATGGCTTTTTGTGCAATAACAATAGCAGATTTTTCCATGAAACTTATGCTATTTGATGCTAATTTTGATAGTAAACCAAAAAATGGACTTATTTTGAGAAATAAAATTTCATTTTTCCTTTAAACCCAATAAGTTCGATTTTCATTTAAACCGACCACTTTCAGTGATCTTAAGACTTAAAGAGCTGAAACTTATTATATGTTCATAAACAATGTTTGCACACAACATGGGTTGTCTGAGCTCTTCAAACTATCAACAGTTCTTTGGATTTTGGTCATAGAACTTAAAACTTCGAACCTCGATATTTCGAGAATGGCTTCACTTTCATTCATCATTGTTTGACTAAACATCCGATTTTATTATGGGCTATAATATAATATCACTCAATACGTTTAAAAATGAATATCTTCCAAACAATCAAGGTTTGTGTTCAGTAACGAATCATCTTTATAAATCAAAAATCCCATCTGACACCATAAGTAATAAAATGCTATAGCTTTTTTTCATAGGAACTTGATGGATTTTATTTTTCAAAACATTATAGCTCATAATGAAATCAAATGTCTGGTGAAATAATAGTGATTGTAGGTACCACTTTTCTCGAAATATTTAGGTTCAAACTTTTAAGGCCAATGGCCAAAATCAAGAGAACTATTGATAGTTTGCAAAAATAATACAATCCATGATGTGCACATACAATTTTCATGAAATAAAAAATAAGATTCAGTCAGATAACTCTTACGGTCACTGAAATAGGTCGGTTTAGTTAAAAATCGAACTTATCGGCTTCAAAGGAAAAATAAAATATTATGCCTCAAAATAAGACCATTTTCCGGTTGCTTATTAAAAGTTACACAGCTGCTGCTAAGTTTCGTGAAAAAAATCTGCTCCTATAGCCGGCAATAGGCGATCGAAGTTTCAACTTTGACTTCGATTTTCTCGTAAACTGTCCATCGTATGAATTATTTAGTAGCACCAATGGACTCAGTTTCTACCCCCTACAATTCTACTAAGTCTCAACGCTTAGCTCAAATGATCCAGCCTTTAGCAGTACTTTTAGCATTACGTTTGCAACATTAACCAGAAAATTGGTTTATTTACCAAGAAATGGGTTAATATGAGTTTGTTTTGTTAAATAAGTTGTTATTCGTACCTCTACACACTAAAAACCATAACCCGAATGCACCAATGGATAGTTATTTAATTCCATCAGATAGTTAATTAGTGTAGAATTAAATCAGCAAACAAATGGTAATCGTAAGTGATGCTATTCTCGAAATATCGAGGTTCAAAGTTTTAGGTTCAATGTCCAAAATAAAGAGAACTGTCGAGATTTTGAAGAGCTCAGACAATCCAGAATGTGTACAAACAATGTTTATGAACATATAATAAGTTTCAACTCTTCAAGTCTTGCGGTCACTGAAAGTGGTCGGTTTAAATGAAAATCGAACTTATCGGCTTTAAAGGAAAAATAAAATGTTATTCCTCAAAATAAGCCAATTTTCTGGTTGATTATTAGAAGTAGCATCAAATGGCATGAGTTTGACAAAAAAATCTGCTTTCATTATTGCACAAAAAGCGATCGAAGTTTTAACTTTCAACTCGATTTTCTCGCAAACTGTTCATCAAATAAATCTTTGAATCGCACAAATGGACCCAGTTTTTGTGTCTTAACAAACTGACAGAGTTTGAATGGCTTACAAATTCATTTTTGCCTGTTTTTACCCGTTCATCTTCTAGCATTTGTGCAACAATTGTGTTTAAATGTAACAATTGTGTCTTTTTTAGTAGCAACCAGATTGAAGGAAGAAAAATTTCAATGATATTCTTTAGTGTGGTTATTATAATAAAATTCATGAGGCTAATAGATGCATAGTTTAGAGCTATCTTTCAACGATAAAACTGTTGATCGAACACTACTTTCGATAGTTCTCTTGATTATTGCAAGTCTAATTAATCCATTGCATTGTGTAGTAGTAACTTTTGTTGATCATCTAATGGATTAATCAGGACTAAAAATTTACTCAAAGTTCTTAAATAATAATGAAATACTTTCCTCCAACATTATACAATGAAATAGCAAGTCAAAAATGGTCAGACAAAATAGGGTTCAGGTTAATGATCAAATTGTCGATGACAATTTTCATTCTGATTTGAAATTTTTTGTTAATTCCACCCTAATAATGAATTATCTAATCCTGCCAAGGGCATTTGATTTGTGAAACAATAAATAACGTTTATTTAAACATTGAATTCGGTAGATATTATCGCTCAGATTAATACAATCAAGCTCATTGTTCAGGCATGATAATTGTTGCTTTACTTGCTGAAACCAGTTGAAACAATAATAAATAGCATTCATTCACCAATAATTTCAGTTCTAAATCATCTTTCAGTCATTGATATTGTTCAAAAACAAATTGAAAATGTATTCAAAAGCCTTTTTCGTCGCCTTATTTTGTATCGGTAAGTTAAATGCAGACAATTTAAATTGTCTTTGATTGTCATCTAACTAATTTCTTGTTTAAATCAAGGTTTGGTCAACTGTATCAGTCACATTGAAGATGTTGATTTCCTCAACGACGCTGTTGGAAGATACAGTCCTGTTTTGGTCAAAGACTTGCTCATGGATCGAGTCAATCACAAGATGGAACAAATCAAAGTTATTTCCAATTCGACAATCGGTATCAACCAGAAACAGATCGACCTCTGTAATGTTGTTCATGAAGGTTTCGCTATCCTCTTGTCTGATCTTGAATTGATGGAGGATAGTCAAGTGATAGGTGACGATACTTACGACAACACAATGAAAGGTTTCATATCGGAATTTGCTTCATTGACTGAAACATTTAACCGTGAGTTTGAATTCTTGAAGTTACCCGATTTGACCAAAGACACTCCAGACGCTTTACTAGAAATCAAAGTTATCGATTCTCCTTCTTTCAACATTGTTAAATCCAAGTTGTCTGCATCTCTAAAAATGTACCAAAGTGATGTCAAGAAATACGATTCGACTGAAAAAAAGGAGAAAATAAGAATTTTAGCTCAGACTACAGTTCGTAATCTTGAAGATATTACCAGCAAAGCAACTGCATTAACAGAATCAGTCTTTAATTACAGAGTAGTTTTGCACGATATTTTGGTTGAATTTAAACAAACTGTTGACATGTTTTATAGACAATTTCTGGCTATTTTGTGATTATTGTGTTTGGGTCATAACAAATTGATCATTCCATGATTAAAACTCAAGATATTAAATAGCAATAAAATATTACTTTATTCATTCACAGCAATTCTTTCGTCCATTCTATTGAAAAATAGAGAAATGAATAAAGTTGCAGTTTTCATGAATAAATATCTCGTGAATGAAGCAAAATATAATATTGAAATTGGGTCTAAAGAAAAGCCGCTCTGAAACGAAATTAAAATCTAGCAATTTCATAGCTAAAACTTGTTGATATTTAATTCCAGTACTCTTGCGCTAAGCTTTACACTCATTTATTTTGTAACTGTTTAACTTAATTATTACATGATTGATTCAAAGTATCGACGGCCAATCTTGAAATGTGATAGGAAGATTTTTGCCAAAGACTAGATTCAACTGATTTACGGTTTCATGGATTATGAAGAATTGTTGAAATATCAAATTTTTTATCTTCAAAAAGCAAACTTTTTAATCAGTTTGTCTTTGTATTTATTAATTACATTATTTGTGGCAACTTTATGTACAATTATTTACACTTGGATTGATTTGTTTTTTCGTTTTTTTGACAGACAAGAAAAGAGATGAAGGTAACAATGAACCTTCTCACAGATAAGAAAAAACGAAGACTGAATGTGGAAAAGGGATTCCTTTAGATACAAGGAAGATATAATTGTAAATTATTGAATTATCTAAACAATCACAGTTCATCTTTTTCTTTGACTTTAGTTTACAATATAAATTACATCAACAATGAATGATGATGAAACAAATTGATTGACTTTTAAATTGACTTTGTATAATTTAGAGTAAAAAGTGAAAATGATGAGGATGATGAGGATGATTAGAATGATTGAAGAGGCAGCAAAAGAAATTCGGCGAAAAAGGATTATAAACATTCAAGATGAAATAGTCATTCCATTTTTCTGGTTAATGCAAAATAGACTTTGGTTTAAACAATGTACATATATTCAAGCATTTTGCGGCTATTTTTTCATCCATTTGAATCCCAAGGAGCTTCAATTCACCATTTTCATCTTCATGTTGGCAGTTTCCATTTAATCCCGATATCATCTCTTTAGTTTTGGAATATTCAGAATTGAATTATCCATTGGCAAACGTATTTCCATATAAAATTCCAGATAATTTGAATAATCATCAAATGTTTGATTTTACAGCTTTTGTAAAATAATTGTTACCCTAAAGTAGATAAGAAAAGAAAAATTGTTAGACTTCATAATTTTAATAGACTTTCTTCACTTTATTCTTACCTGATATGTCCAGTTAACATTTCCAGCACCAGTTTATAATAAATCAGAACATTGATTGGAGACGATTGTAACCAAATGTCCCTATCAAGTTGAAAAATATCTGAGTTGCCATGGTGAATGTAATAATTGGTTACCAAGAAATGAGTATTTTATACTCTACTGGAATCGGGATTAAATAGGAAACAAAAGGTTTTTTGTTTAGGTTTTCATCAAACTCGGCGTATGTAATTGACGGCTGGGTGACCAAAATAAGTATAATCAAGATTGACTTTGGATGAATACCGAATTGCTGGTAAATTGTCGATGGATTCATAAATATGGTCAGCATGAGCACGATTCAAAGTACGAGTTGAGCAGCTAGCACCGGCAATCATTGTAGTGGCTGTTGATAGTGAAGTTGGTGGACGAGCTGAATAGATGGGTGTTGGAATAGTTGTGGGTAATGGATGGGAACCAATTGCAGGACCAAGTGATCGTGGTTTGAGATCAACCGATTCTTTGGCAACATTGGACGATCTATTACGAATAAAAGCCAAAATTGCTAAACTGAAAAGTAAGAGCAGTAAACCAGCTGCTGATGTTAAACCAATAAACATGAATGGAACTTCGTGAGTAGAGTTGGCATCATAACGAAGAAAGCCAACCTGTTTCCTTATATTGTTACCAATTGCAACCACCACTACTGGTAAGTTGGTTTCAGTTGATCGACCAAATAAATCTGTATATGAGCTCATAGCATAAGCCTCGGTTGGTGGTAAACAAACTAACTGATTCATTGTTAGTGATGTTAAATTACATGGTCGATTGCCAATAGTAACATTCACGTCAGTTTCAGATGCAGCCAGTCTCAGATTATCTCCATCGATGACTAAAGATTCTCCTGTATACAATTTGATACCATCGTTGTCAAATGACCGGAAAACTGGATCAGGTACATAATGGAGGCTTGAATCAACGGACGGAAAATTATCCCGGACATTAGTGACACTTTCAACCGAATCCATTTCAAAGGCTATTTCAAAAATGAGATGAGCATGAGAGGAATGACCATGAAGATGAGGACGAGCATGGAGATGATCAGATCTAGGAAGATCATGGTGTGAAGGTGACAAGATCAAACGAGAATATTCATTGGATGTTGTTGTAGAGGAATCGAAACCAGTCTCAGAAGATGGAGCAGTCATTGAAGATGATGATGAAGTAGCTTGTGGTCCAGCAAATGACTCGAGATATGGTTTAATTGAAGGAGCGGGACATTTGATAAGAGTATCATTGACTGGAAGACACAAACTTTTGCCAATAATTCTGGATGAATGTTTAATAATCATTCGAGGTTGTGCGATAAAAGATAGATGATTTCCAGTGACATAGATTAATCGTCCACCTGAGATATAACTTTTGTTCGGATAAATGGAATGAATGGTTGGATCTTTGCCATAAGTATAAGGGCGTGGTAAGGTTAGGTTGGCACCATCAAGAAGAAGGGTTAACTTTTGAACCCAATAAGGAGCAGTCAGAGAAGGTGAAGTTCGACATGTAACCTGACGATTGGCAATCATGGATCTGCGAAAAAAAGAGATTAAAAAAATCAATAAATTATAACAATTAAAGGAAAATTTTCAAATAAAAAAAATTTATTTTCATCCCTTCAACACTCATTAGGTAGCGTTTGTTTACTTTTCTTAATGATATGATGTCATAAGGTTGACTGTTTTCTTTGTCATAAGTTAACCGTCTTTTCATTTTAAATTGTTAACGGCTGTTTCTTTTGTTTATTTGTATTAATCTATACAGATTTTATTTCATTTTAGTTTTTCTCATTAAAGATGTTTGTTTATTAAAAATTTAAGTCTTTTCAATGTGGAATCCACATTGTGGATTTAATTCATCGTACGCAGCGCAAAGGAATTTGCGATCAGTCATATGTGGAGCAGCCTCTGGTATTATTAATTGTGTTTGTTTAAATAATTTCTCTGGGTTAAATTATGCAAAAATTGGACAGCTATTGACTCGACAGTGCTAAGGGTGATTAACTAAGCCATTAACAAAGACAATTGGATCCATTAATTTTTTGAGTCTCATTATCACATGTTCTGAGTAAGCATATTTTTCCCTCTTCTTACATAAATATCTTTCTTTTTTTTCTTTCATTTAATGCTTTTCCATGAAATATGTATGCCTAATTATGTATAATCAATTAATTATTTTTACTTTTTTATATCACAGGGCATATCATCAAGATAGATTTCAATGTTTGATCCAATATTGAAATTGGAACCAGCCAAGTAAAGATGAGTTCCACCAGATTGAGGTCCAACCTTAGGATTAACGTCCATCAATTGAACAGCCTTTAATTTGAAATTCAAAAAAGAGACAAGCAAAAAAAGCATTGCATTAAATACTTGATTAAATATTTGGTCATTTGGAAGGATTCAAGTTTAACAATCAACATTTAATAGTTTGACTTGTTCCGCTTCTGGTTCAAAATACACTTGGTTCTATCTCTTGGCCAACCCTTTATTGCGTATACTGTTGACAAGTGCAAATGATTTGAGTAAATAGGAAACAAAAGTCCGTAACACAAATCATCTAATACATGAACATCAACATAAATTAACAACAGTTTTACAGTCTTAATTGAAGTGTGAGTAAATGAGTTAACCAGTTAAACTCATTACCAATAGATGATTACACTCTTATGCGACTTTTTTACTGTTTTCACTCTTATCCCTTCATTTTGCTTGCCTTTTCCTCTCCTCTCTTCTTTTACAGAATAACGATAATACAATGAGTATAACGGAAAATCAAATTAAAAGTAAAGTAAGTATTGTGATTACTTAAATCTTTTTGATATTATAATAGCACATATACAATATAATCTATTATTCACACTTAATAATCTAATGTTGCCTCTTTGCCTTCTTTTCATTCCATCTTCTCTTCTCCTCCTACTCCACCCTCCTCCTCCTCTTCATCTTTATCCTCATAATTCTCATTATTTTCTTTATTTCTTTTCATCATTTACAGATTTTTTTGCCTGATATGATTATTGTTTATTTTAAGTGGTTTCAACTTTCTCCTCTCTTCTTTTTCATCACATAATCAATCGGATTAAAACCCAAATGGCTTATATTTTCCAATCCTCGCACATATAAATAATAAGCCTTAACCGGAAACTAGCAAAACAATGGCCACATCAACCGAGAGTGAAAAAAGGTGTTAAAGATATGAAAGACCTGGACGCGAAACAAAAAGCGAATACATTGTCAACTTTACAGATTTATGCTTGTTGAATAACATAAACCATACCGAGATAAATTTCCTGTGTATGTACAATATTGACCTTTATACCTCGCTCCTCACCTCTCTACTTTCGTTTACTTTTCTTTAATCTTCAATTTATTTTCTTTTATTTCTCCCTTCTTTTTCAGATGTCTAACATACAAAGTGTACCAATGGTTTCAATCAGTGGGTTAATCTAATGATGCGCATAAATTGAGCGGTTAATTCAAAATACAGATGTTTTATCCATATTGAGTTTTTATGCGCATAAGAGATTATCTTCTTCCCTGATGGAAACATTCTGTATACTCTGTAAATGATGAACAGAGACGAGGATCAGCATATTTTAACCCTTACAGTTGATTATGCTTCCAAATTGGGTTCTTACCATTGATTAGTGGAATGGAAAAATGTTGAGACCAATGACAATTCTGTGTAATCACTTGGATTAAATACAAAATGGTTTTCCTTGATTAACTTCCCCACTTTCCTCTGTTTATCTATCTGGGTACAGATTTTACATCTTTTTGTCTCTTTCACCTTCATCATCTCCCTGAATTTCCCTCTCTGGTAATTTTCTTGTTTACTTATAGCCTTTTCTGTCTTAATTTTTTCTTCTTCCTTCACTCCCTCTTCTCCATTGCCTTTCATTTGTTCATTTTCAGAAGTTTCAAATTAACACCATTGGTGTGGCATGTTAATCTCATCCAATTTTCTTCTCATTTCAGGTTGATTGAGTTTTTGCGTTCCAAGGGAACATAATAATGTTATACAATAAATCGGAGAAAAGGAAGAAAAAAGATGAAGGCGAATACGAAGAAGAAGAAGACAAAACACAAGGAAAAGAGTATGACAAAGACTTAAAGAGCATTTAAAAGGATCACGAGAATCTGATGAACACATGATTGAGCAAATACATGTTGCAAGTTGTTTCTTCAAAAATTCAGGTAATGAGCATGTACCATGTAAAGCAATTTTAACCTTCTTTTGTATTTCTATTTAGGTTATGTATATTCAGGTAGCAGCATGGCTTTTTCCCTTCTTCTTTGGCCTAACACAATAGAGGAAACTAAATCTTGCCTTACTTTGATTAACAAAATGGATTAACCAACATAATGCCAGTCAATTAGCAATTAATCTGATTAGCTGACCTTCTGGTTCATTCAAGATTCTCAAGATCATGTTTCTCGCTTCCTCCTTCCTTAAGGTACCCATCATGTGCAAACTACATTAACCTCATCACTGTTGTTCCCTGATCGATATTGATGAAATAATGTCTATTTTGTACATTTTACTAAAAGCAAATTTAACTAGACCAGGTTAACCAAGGTTTATTTATCAACCAACAAAAAGTTCTGGCTACATGTTAGGAACAATTCTCTCTTCCTCAGTCTTTGTATTGTTGATAAACAGTAAATAATTTCTTCAAAACGTGTAATAGAAATGTTTACAATTGACTTTTCTATTCTTGTTGAGTTTTATTTTCTGTTTTACTCCAAATCACTAACAATAGTAGTTGATGAAAATCAATTGGAATGAGAAAAGATTGGCTCAAGATCAATCGTTGAATTACCCAATTGATTACAATCAATTTAATGATGGAGTGTAAACTTATTTTCAATTGCTAACCATTGGTATCAAATCAATTTTGTTGACCTTACGTTAGCTTTTTTTGCCAGTGTTGGTTAAAAAAGAAGCCTTTCAGACTATTCCAACCTTTTCTCCATCATGTTCAAATTCAATTCTCATTCAAATTGAATTTCCCTTTCCTTGCGTCTTTCATCCCTTCTTCAGTAATACCAAACCTCAATCAACTTCACTTTCCACCAAATTAACTTACATTACTTTCATGGAATATAATTTAATTGCAAGATTAATGTAAGAAAAACTAATTACAACCTTTAACAATCATTCAATCAATTGTAAAATACCCATTTAATCAAATTTAGGTACAAACTTGAAACTCAATTCTAACCTCAATATTAATTTATTTCAAAATTGGGTAAAAATTGGACTTCTTGACAAACCTAAAGTCTAATAATAGCAAATGGCTAAAGTAAAAATATTAATTTTTATTTAATCCAATCATTTGAATTTCCAATGATAATTTACAACAATTACCTTATTCACTCCCTTTTAACCAAACCCTTTGTTAACCAAAAAATAACCCAAAAAGAACCAGATTTGATTGTTAACAATTTAAACTGCTAGTCGCCCAAAGATTCATTCAGTTGCTTTCCATCTTCAATCTCAAATATAAGCATGAAGAAACCTTTCAAAGGTTTCTATGGGAAAATGTTTGAATATTATTTTGATGATGAAAAAAATGGAACTGATAATAATGATAGTTTATTCACTCCAGAGTTTTGGTTGATTGGTTTTTGTTCCCAGAACAAAGCAATTTCATTTTACTATTGAACCCAAAAGGGACAGACAAAAGTGTAGCTGATATCAATAAAAACAACTGACCTGTTAATTTGTTGTTTAGCTTTACTTTTTGTCTTGTTATGGTTCACATTTTATACTGTTATTGTTATTATTATTGCTTGTTTTTCCTCTTGTTGATATTATTAATAAAGAGAGACAAACAGTTTCCATTGATAATAATATTAATGACTATCAACAATCACAAGGGAATTTGATTGAACCTCTTTTCAATATAATAACATATCAAGGTAAATCAATTTTGATCAATTCTATGTTCTTTTTCTCTTCTTTTCTCCTTTTTTTCCCTCTCATATATTAATGTTTATTGATAGTAGATATCAGTAAACAGTTATAATTTACTACACAGAATTGAAATTAAAACAGATTACTGTTAACACCAGTTTAATAGCTATAAAAAATCTGTTTACATGATCATTCAACTGTTTCTCCATTGAATGCCATTTAATGATGGAAAGATAAAAAAAAGCAAATCAAATCTCTTATTAAAATCATTAATGATTGATATAATAATTGACTTTCTTTGTATCTAGATTTACTCAATTGCATTTAATGTATTGTTGGTTAACAACATTGGTTTGTTATTACCTCTAAAAATGCAACCCAATTGACTTGACCATTGTTAACAACATGTTGCCCTTCCTTGACAATTTACATTGTTTATTGTAAAAAAAGAGAGAAGCAAATTGAATTAATCAAAATTCAAGTGTTAAGGTTGCTAATCAAGATGTTAATTAAATGATCCTAAATCAAAAGAAGGTCACTTAATCAGAGCTTTTTTAACATCTATTTATCACTAAATTACCAACCATATACCATTATGAAGTCTATTGTTGGATTAACCAGTGTTAATGATGATTAAATATAACTTCATTTACTTTCATCATAATCACCGCCATCATCATTACCATTGACACTAGATTTGTTTTCAGCAACAAACGTAATTTTCCCATCTTTTTATATTATTATTAATTATTTACTAATTTTGCGTCTTTCCTTTTCCTTTTTCAACAGGAGACATTCATGGACAACTGGACAATCATTCATTGTCACTGGCATTTCATTGACTGTGTTCATGTTTCCTCATTGGCCTCCATCTATTCCTAAGTATGGCTGCTCAATTGCTTTCCACCCTCACCATCGTCCTCATCATAATCATCATTACCATCATTCTCATCTTTCTCTTTTCACTATTCAAATAAGCAAACCATTAGCAGTACTTAATTTTCATCAAACTATTTAATTAGTTTTGAACAAATTTGTGAGCCTCTTGATGAGCCCTAATTAGATAGTCTTAATTGAAGGAGACACTAAAACAATCTCCATTCTAATTCTTGCTCATCTTTGGCATCATCATCATTATAATCAACAACGGTTTGCTTTACAAACTATTTATTTCATTTTTCTCTTTCTTTCTTTTTCTCTCTCCAGGAAAATCTAAATATAGTGATGAACCTGATGCATCCCAATGGAACTTGAATCATTAAATAACTTTCCTGAAAACAAAACTCATCAAGCTTTTACTTTGACCAGCTCAATGAATCAACCTTTATGTGCATTTGTTTAAACTTTTTTTTATTCATTTCATTCCATCTTCCCCTATCCATTATCATTATACATAGGTTATCATTCAGACACATTATCCGTCTCTTTACCGCTTCTTTCATTACATGGTTTGTTGATGTGTTAAACGTATTAAAAGGTTGCCAATTGAAGGAAACAAAAAAAGCAAGCTAATGATCCTTACCTTGTAAACGAAATTTTCATTTGCTCTTGTCACTCCAGCTCGATTACCAACAACAATGTTGGCTGAATAAGGTCCAGTTGGACTGGGACCAGTTCGACATACAACTCTGTAAAGGCGAAAAACGAAAATCCAATGAAGATTCCAGGATAAATACGACAATTATTCCTTCACAAGACTTACCTGACAGAGACGTTATACTCAACCGGAGTACAAGGGATTCCTCCGATGGCGACTTTATCCTTAATTTCATCAACACTCGACCCAAGATTGGAACCTTTAATTGTAACCAAAGTTCCTCCCTCGATTGGACCAGAAAGTGGATAAATCTACAAAACGAATTGAAGAAGCAATTAGTACAAAGTAAAAGCTTTGACCCAACTCACAACCATAATCATTCCAAGTGGTTACCAATTACATTATTTGGCAATTTCGATTCACCATTCAAATGGAATCAACATTCCAATATTAATGGAAAAAGTTAACCAGAGAAATGACAATGAGCGACAAATTTTCAATTTACTTTAGTAACAGGTGTTCAAACGGGTAGGTTAAACTTTGGGTCTTTATATCTCGAGAAATAGGTGCACTATCGTGGTCATTTTAATTTTATATTAATTAGCTTTACTAGGAATTTGAGAATGTCTAAAAGACAGAGTATTTAGAAGCGAAACAAAAGCGCTCACCCGACTCGAAAAAGCAGTTTATAATGGGATTATAACATTTCAATGGAAACTTGTCAAAAATTTATAGCTGTATTTTTGAAAATCGTCTGATAGCGTTAATTGTAAAAAGGTGAGGGTATTTCGAGCACACATATCATTAATTCCCGATAAAAATCTATTTATATACAAATTTTCAGATCAATAAACAAATCCGTTCTAAAGATATAGCCGTTTACTTTTTGACCTACCCGTTTGAACACCTAGTATATTAATTTCTGAACAACAATTTGAATTGGAAAAATTTGATATCAAACTAGCTTTTGAAGAGGAAGACATTTTTCAATTGCAATGGATACATTTGGAGCATTTATTGCAATTTTTGATGTTATTAAATAACGAAAATGAAAATATCAAATTAATATTGAAAAATATCAATTGAATCAGTATTTTATTGAAGTTCAAAAAATCAAGTTTATGTTAGCAAAATTTTACAATCCAAATGTTGAGTTTCATTTTGCTTTCCTCCATTTGACATTTCATTTCATTTTAGTTTTGTTTGACTGATTATATTATCATTATCATTATAATGGTTACATCAAAACTAATCTGATGGACAGAAAAGTAAAGTCAAATAACAATGGAACCCTATGATGTCCATGACAATGGGCGGTCAATTGGTGTCCAAAAAAGATTTTGTTTCCAAGTTTTTCATGTTAATTCAAACAAAAGGAAAAAGTAAATTGATAAAGAGAAGGAAGACGATAAAAGATGAAAAAATATGTTTAAAAAAAATGAAATGCGATCATCATCATCTTTAGAGAAGTGAAAAAGGATGAAGGAAAAGGCCGATAAAATGTGGGAGTGAAAATGTGAATAACTTTGATGAAAAATGTATTTTAAGAAAATTGAGATTGAACCAGAAAAAGGGAGATTCACATGAGATGATAAAGATTAGGATGAAAATGATGTGAAATAAATTTGATTTAGTGTCCATAGTAACTTGGAAATGCTGGTAAAAGTGAAATTTAATTTGTTTGCCTTGATTCACTTTTTGATAGAGAAAATTTTCTCCCCATTTTATACATTTTTCATCATTTTTCATTCTCATCAATCTCATCATGACCAAATTGATTAAAAGAGTCAAAATCTATTTCCATTTTCAATATCGACTTGAAGGCTCCAAGTCTCTAGTCGAGCTAAACATTCCCTTTGAAAAGTAACTCAAAGTCAACTCACAGAGTGTTGAAGCAATAGATTTGAATTGCTAAAACATCGACAAAAGACGTCAAAGAAGCTCTTAAATTTCAACTGATCTAGGGCTTAATGCGACCACAGCAAAAATTGGAATTTCTCTGAACGCGAAAATCGACATCGAACTGAGCTCAGTCCAACTACATGAACTTGGGAGATTTTCCTCTCTGAAAACCTTTCGAAAGAAATTCTTTTTTGAATATTTGTAATTTTGATTCTTGATATCGACCATTTCAGAATCTTGTCTCAATCAAATGTTGACCTTAGAATCCTTCCGCTGAGAATGATGCAAATGAATGTCCTGAATAATCAACTTTTAAAAATTTCGATGAAAAATTCTGGAAATTTTGTCGAATATTCTTCATCTGTTTTCCGAATTGATTGATCTTTATGAATAATCTTTTCAATAAATTTGGACAATTGTAATAATCTTTTGACAAGTTTGACCTTTCAATCCAAATGAACAATGAATGAAACTTGCTTCTTAATTTCTTTTCCATGTAAAACAATTTCTGAAAGTTCTCAAAGTAAATCAAAAGTGAAAACTGACAGTTGAATCCAAGATTGTCATTTATTATCACTTTTATATTACTTTCTGTCAAGGATTTACCAAAACTGAATGCGATATTAATAATGATAATACTTTTGTTTCTTCCCCAGTTGAAAGTGAATTAAAGAAGTGCAAAAAAAGGATTGAATTTTAATTTGCTCGCCTCGATACAACCATGAACTGAAAAAGCCAACAACAAAAACAGTTTTAATTCATTTCCATTTGATGTTATTGAATCTACTCTCAATGGTAAACATTTTTTACTCTAAAAACAAAAGGATGAAATACATTATTTGATTGTGGTAAAGTTGAGATTTGGCAGCAAAAATAAAGTCAAAACTGTAATCACTTTATTAACGTTGACGAGTTTAAAATGTTGACTTATCATTATTATATCATTAAATTGAATTAACATGTCAAAAAGTGTACTTCGAACTGTTTTTAGAAGAGAAAAAGAAGAAACTGAAAAGTCGAATGTTTCATTGATGGAAAGTAAAACCAGGAAATCTTTTTCTCTTCACATGATCATCCAAATTCACCTTAAATAACCTTATTATTGCATTTTCCTGCCTTTGTTTCATCATTATTGTTATCTTTAGCCAATTTTGTCTCTTTGCTTAACCTTTTTCTCTTCACCAATTTCGCCATTATCAAGTTATCCTTTCAACTCATCTTGATAATAATTTAAGAACCATTTATGCTGCCCTTGTTCATCCCTTCAACTCAATCATCCAAACCTTAATCCCAAACAGTTAGACGCATTGAGACACTGAAGCAACGAAACAAAAAAAAGTCAACAATTTAATCTGTAAACTGACTTAAATCAGAAACGGATTTAGAAGAAAACTTTCATCTTCTTTCAAGTCAAATATATTTTTTCCTTCATCTTTACCATTAAAACTTGTGACTCTAACTTGGATGTTGAACCATTTCAAAGATTAGTTGGAATCAGAGGAAAAGAAGAAGAGAAAATTTTCTTGAAAAGATTTTCAAAACTCATCAACATTAATGTTATAATTTCATTTAATCGCTCTGCACCTTTCATCATCACTGGCCACTGTTCAAATCAATCATCAATCAACTGTTAATGATGACAATGAAAATGTCAAATTTTTCATTTCTTTTAACCTTTTCTTTCCTCTTCTTTCCCTCAATATTATCAATTCAATTGACCATTAAGTTATGATTTTTCACTCTCTTCTCGCCTCTTCCAGCCATTACCGAGCTCTTGCCATTCTCGTCGTTATTATTATTTTATTTATATTATTACATGAAACGTGATCAATTACGATGAAGTTATGATGATGATAATCATGATGATAATAATAGTAACGAGAAACCTTCACTTGATCAAGATTAATACAGATTAATTTGAGCTTTAATAATAAGAAAATAAAGTTGTCTCAAAAGGACAAAAATTGAGTTACCAACAAGAAACACTTTTTTTCATGGATTTTACTGTTTTCCAGGAAAATAAAAAGGAAACCTCAACTTGAATAAATACGGAAATTGAAAGCATATTGATGATAAAAATGTGATATAATATCAAATATGTTATCAAATATATCATCAGATTTACCAGAGAAAAGTATTAGTCTTTTCCATCTCTTGGTTCAGCTTTGATGGATTCATTGAATTTTTATCTCATTCATCCAATGATTATAGAGTGAAATATTTTCACCCTTTAATTGGAATGACCACAAATGCCATGAATCCAAGTTTATCGATTTTTCATTTACTTTTACCATTTAATTTCGGATACTTTTTTCCCTTCAAAGTTGAGACTTGCAGACTTGTTAAAAGCATTTTTCATCAAATTCATGATCAATCTATTTCGATAACTTGATGTTGAGATTGAGATTTTAATGTAAAGATCTATTAAGTAATTGGTTAAATCGAGTCTATTATCGAGTCTAGTTGTTTGATTTTTGAAGTCGAGTTGAAAATTGATAATGATTCAATTAAAATACAGACAATTTGATTACTCTTTGAACATTGAATTTGCTTTTCAAGCGTAAAGTTGAACTTGAAGATGATTATTTTATGCCTTTCCTCTTCTCAATATCGTTCAATGGAAATGAATAAATATTGTTGTAGCTTACGCCTTTGCTTTTTGATTAAATGTTTAAAGTCAAGGTTCAAGTTGATGTTCATTAAAATGCATAAAAACTCTATCCTAATATGCATATCATCGCAGATTATTCTGGTTACTTGCAAAATCAATTTTAAATCCAATAGATTCTCATGTAATTATTATCATGACAAATAATCAAGTGAAAAGTTTGCATCTCATAGTCAGCCAACAAGAATAATTAACTCATCATTGTTGAACCAAAAAACATTCAAGAGTAAAAAGCATTTCTAAACATTCAATTCCAAATTCAAAATCCAATCCCAACAAAAAGCAGAGAGAAAAATATTCAACTTCAAATTTCTAAATTTTTCCCTTTTGCCACACTCATTGTTGTTGCGACTGTAACGGGAAGTCACTTCAACCGCTCTACTACCGATCTCTGAACCTGAACGTTCGGAAAGTCCGACGTTATTTTGTTTCCGAAAATCGAGGTTTTGAGAAGTGCAAGAAAGTGAAGTGTGAAGCCTTTGATACAAATTTATGTTCAGAGATTGGCTGATCTCTCATGGACGATGAAACGCACAATGAACAGATTCAGAGCATAATTGGTGATTTTAGTGATATTTAGTTCATTATCTGAGCAGAAAGGGAAATGTGAACAATGCAAAGTTGATACAAGGTAAAGATGGAGTGATGATGACAGAAGAGAAAATGGTTTGTAGACTTACTTAGAATTTAATTAACTCCAAGTCTAGTTGATTCAAGAGGAAATTATGTCCACTCGACTGT